CAGGGGAGACAACATGATATGTATCACAATACAGGGGAGACGATACGATATGTATCACAATACAGGGGAGACAACACGATATGTATCACAATACAGGAGAAACAATATGAAATGTATCACAATACAGGGGAGACAACATGATATGTATCACAATACAGGGGAGATGATACGATATGTATCACAATACAGGGGAGACAACATGATATGTATCACAATACAGGGGAGACAACACGATATGTATCACAATACAGGATAAACAATATGATATGTATCACAATACAGGATAAACAATATGATATGTATCACAATACAGGATAAACAATATGATATGTATCACAATACAGGAGAAACAATATGAAATGTATCACAATACAGGGGAGACGATACGATATGTATACAGGAGAAACAATATGAAATGTATCACAATACAGGGGAGACGATACGATATGTATACAGGAGAAACAATATGAAATGTATCACAATACAGGGGAGATGATACGATATGTATCACAATACAGGGGAGACAACATGATATGTATCACAATACAGGATAAACAATATGATATGTATCACAATACAGGGGAGACGATATGATATGTATCACAATACAGGGGAGACAACACGATATGTATCACAATACAGGATAAACAATATGAAATGTATCACAATACAGGATAAACAATATGATATGTATCACAATACAGGGGAGACGATATGATATGTATCACAATACAGGGGAGACAACACGATATGTATCACAATACAGGATAAACAATATGAAATGTATCACAATACAGGATAAACAATATGATATGTATCACAATACAGGGGAGACGATATGATATGTATCACAATACAGGGGAGACAACACGATATGTATCACAATACAGGATAAACAATATGATATGTATCAAAATACAGGTGAGACATGGTGGCAGTGGTGTGATGGTCCAGGGTGGATTTACAGCTTCAGGAACAATAGAATTGTTGTAATTGATTGACTATGAAATCTGCTCTAGAAAATTGAAGGAGAATATCTGACCTTGAGTTGAATTAAAAAAGAGTATTTTCAAAAACAGTGATTTGAGTGGGAGTCTTTTCACAAACACAGTATAATAGTTGTCACTGTTACAACCAGATATTAGAACTTTTTCACAGAGCCAGATTGCCTTGGAAAGCTATTTGCACTTAATTAATAGAATCATAAATAGAAAATTGAATTTTGTGTTCACTCTGACAAGATCTAACATGTTTAAAAATAACAAAAACAGAAGAATTTTTCATGGGGAGAAAAATATTTTTCCCATTCATGGTCATCAACAGTACACAGGCTTTGTGTAACACATCCAAAAACAACAATACACAAAAAAAGTTAAATATAATTAAATGCCTTTCAGTTATGCAGCAGCTTCATGTACATCATTTTTCTCTGACTAACCCGTTTTTTGCACTTTCTCCCCTCAAAACCTCCATAACGTTAGCAGAGCAGGTTGCAGATTTATGACATAATTTACACTGCCTCTGGTCTATGATGTAATTGTTACGGCTAGCTCCCTTTATGTTCCAGGTTAATAGAGGTTTACTAGCCCCTCCTGGCAGTGGGTTGACTAGTTATAAACATGCAACAAGCTCCACCTTTACTGGGACCCGAGAGAGCGGCCTGGTAATTAATCATTACAAGATTGACAAGTGGTTTAAAGCACCTGCGGACTCATCTCAAGGCCCATTGCTGCCGTTGAACTGGCACTACATTTTTAAGAATAGCCCCGAGTGGGAGTGGAAATTGGTTTGTGCTCATAGGCAGAAGGTGTGGACTTATTACTCAAGGACTTTCACACTCAGGGTGACACTGCATGTGAGAAGCTTTGTTGTCCTTGAATGTTGGGTTTCAGTAATTTATTCATGCTTCAAGTACTTATTATTTTAGCTTGCTAACATTTTTGTGAAAGCATGTTTAGTTCTGCTTGACGTGTAAGGCTAGTTAATGAGAAAGTGTCGCTTTTACCCTTATATTGTACTTGGATACTTCTAAATTAAGTAGTGATGCAGATTTTTATTTGCAGGTGAAATAACTAACATACAGACATGTCTGGCACACATGTGCACCAGTTATGTGGAATAATAATATGAATGAATTACTGAAAACCCTTTTTTTATGATTATTTCTGATTATATTAAGACACTCAGTTTCTCATGCAGGTTAAACATGAAAATAGTCTCCTACACCTATCTCCTGAAATAGCTTCTGATAGAAAATAGACGGTGAAACTGTAGGATTAGAAAAGCCTGACAAATCTACGTCACACTGTCACTTAACGTTCATGGACTCACCCATCTTGACTCACGACGGGGAAGGCTGTTGTTGGTTTAGCGTCCAGGAAACAGCAGAAAACAACTTGGCTAGTAGAAGCTAACTGTTAGCATTAGCAACTCCACCAAACGGCCAAACTCCTCCCGGCTTGTGTTAGTTGTGGAGATAAAACAACAACATTGGAAGTCAGTGGGTGAGTTGTGTTGCTGTTATCCAATGGTAAATGGCCTGTATTTGATATAGCGCCTTCTAGAGTCCTGGAACCCCCCAAGGCGCTTTACAACACAATCAGTCATTCACCCATTCAGACACACATTCACACACTGGTGGGGATGAGCTACAATGTAGCCACAGCTGCCCTGGGGCGCACTGACAGAGGCGAGGCTGCCGAGCACTGGCGCCACCACTCCCTCCGACCACCACCAGCAGGCAACGTGGGTTAAGTGTCTTGCCCAAGGACACAACGACAGCGACAGACTGAGCGGGACTCGAACCAGCAACCTTCCGATTACGGGGCGAGCACTTAACTCCTGTGCCACCGTCGCCCCAAATCCAAGGGGAGATATCCAAATGTCAGGAAATAAGAATCAAATAAGAAACCTACTGTCTGAAACTCAGATGCCATGTTGGTACTTCTAGTTAAGAGGCATTAATTCCTACTAGAGATCACAGCACATGTATTAAACAAGTGTTTCACTCTAACAGTTTTAACCTTTTCTATTCTGGGAGTTTTGACAGACAGAAAGGTTGAACCTGTATACCTTACTTTGTCTCTGCAGATTTACCGAACGACACAAAGAGAATGAGATACTCCCCCTATTGCATAGTTGCCTTTGTTGAAATCGTGGCAGAGGCAGAGATACAGAAGAAGACTTTAAAAGAACAGAGAACCATGGAGCAGGGGGCAATCAGAAGGTTGGAGCTTTACCAAATAAATCAGAAATTTAAATCAGCCTAAGGCAAATTAAAACCATTGCACCCTTATTATCACGTAATAATTTAACCAAACGAACAAGTCTCTCATTTACAGTGATGAGCAGCCTTTAACTTCTATTTAAATAAATAAATCAGAAAGTTAAGTTTCTCTTTGGTCCGTCTGTCTACTTAGAAGCAGTTTTAAACTGTGAATGAAATGCAAATTTGATTCCAACACTCACAGTAGCACACAGCTCAAAGTGCCAGTCCTGACACTGAAGCAGCTTTTGTGTTTATAATATTCTGTCCTCATGATAAATGCTCAGGCCTTTGTGTTTGCCAAACTCCAGAGCACATCTGTGTGTGTGTTTTCATGCTGCCTTGTGATTTTAAATGAGCAATGTGTTGTTGGCCTGAAGAACTAAAATCCGTGTCCTCGTGTTTCTGTGGACGTGATTGGACCCTCACCTCTTGCATGTCCAGCTTCCTAGAAAGATCTGAGGCTGTTGCCCAGGTAACCACAGGACCTGATGCTGTATTTCCCAGGTTACCCTCAGATTGTCCACAAGCGTGGGGTGAGAGCTCGACTCATGAGGCTCTTTCCATGCTCGGCAAGCAAAAAGCCATCCTCCAGTAATCAAAGCAAGTGGCTCTTCCTTTCTGTCTGTCTTTGATGGTTTCACCTTGTCCCTGTGTCTGGTATTTGTGCATCAGCCACATGAAAAAGATGGAATGATTTTAACATTTAGAGCAGATTTGACTATATTTTAATGACCTTCAAATCTACTCATCTTCCACAGAGTCTTGTAAAATTTCCTGAGGCTCTTATTGTGAAGGGATTTTAAAGGAAGTTATACATCTCAGTTGGGTGTAAATGCATCTTTCAAGATACTAAAGATGGAAATAGACCTCATTAAACCCAACGCCCTTGTATTTTAGCATTTCTCTGATGTCAGTGTGCACACATAACCTCTGGTTACAACAGCAAGAACGAGTAAAATATGTTGTTCCAATGAACACAGCAGGATAAAAGGTTGTAACCATTGCAGTAACATCATGAGTAATAGTTTAACAATTGTTCCCATTGTGACAACTAAAAATGCCATCCATTCTCCTTTAATACTTGCTATAAAACATTAATAATTGAATGTGATTCATGTTTTTTTGTTCCGACATTATCTCATCGTGAGGTTCTTCTGAACCAACTCATAGTGTCATGTTAAACAGGAGAGATAAACACGAGTCCATTCCACAGTGATGATGAGAATGAGTCTTGTATTTAAATATCACCTGTAAAGGTTCTGTAGTTGCTCCCTAGCAGCAGGTTAAATATGCTTTGCGGCAAAGTTTGGCCTTTTAGTTGTAAGGCACAATAAACCCTTGATGCTAATGAGGCACTTGGATGGTGTGTCACTGCTCAGGTGTGTGAGAGTCAACTGCTGTGCCACGAGGACAGCACAGCCATCATTACAGGCCCATTAAAACATTCCGCTGGCTTTAATTGTGCCCTCATGCAGAAACTATCTGCCACACTGGCTCCTGTTCCTGGGTCTGAACAACACTAATTACTTCTAATGTCATATTTGTTGTAAGTGAACAAAACAACCCTGATGGCATCTGATGCAATTTCACGGCAAAAAGTTGGCTTTTTTAGTGAAAGTGTTGCAAATGTCCCCATTTGTTTGCATAGCTATTGGAGAAATTCCAGATGTATTAGTATTCACCTTAATGCAGTAAACAAATGATCACTTCTGACCTTCCCTTTCCTCTTTAGATAGCGTTGAGGATGAGCTCGAGCTATCTGCAGTCCGTCATCGCCCAGAAGGCCTTGAGCAGCTTGAAGCCCAGACACGGTTCTCCCGTAAGGAGCTACAGATCCTATACCGAGGATTCAAGAATGTAAGTAGCACCAATCAGCCTGAGCACCATTCATAATCAACAGCAGTGGGCTGTGACCCTCTCTCCTGCTCTCTAATATAAAATATATTTATCTCTTTGATTTTTCCATTGATCAATTCCTTTACAAGTGACTCTACAGTAGGTCTAACGCCACGTCCCTTGAAACAACCACTAGGTTTTAATGAAGAGATGCTTTCCCATCTTGCTCCTGTTATTGCCCATGGAAAGCTCCTTTCTTTTCTAGATCACCTCCAGGTAGCGGACCTTACTTTGCTGGTTCTTTTCTTCCAGAAGAGAAAAACTGGTCACACTCTAACTCAGTTCCTGATACACTCCCAAAAATGACCATTATTCAGTAGGTTGGTGTAAATTGGTTTATACAGAAATAAAGCATAGAAAAATGGTACAAATGACACATCTTAAACGCCTGAAGCTACCCCGTGTGGTCGCCAGTTGAAATGGCCCAGAACCCTTAGCTAAACCCCACCTTTAGGGTATCAAATGTTTGACACACTGCTTACAATCCCAGAGCTAATTGGGTCATAAATGAGCTATGGAAGGTTAATGTGGAACCAAACAAGTCATAGCAGTAGGGAACAGCTGGTGTGAAAAGGAATGACATAATCCACTGGTTGATCTAACCTAAATTTAATTATTTGTGCTAATGTGATCAAAGGTTTTAGTAATGACATAGGTATGATTTTTAGTTAAATGATTCTGTAGCGTAGGGGTATTCAGTTGCTGTCCTGGAGGTCCTGTATCCAGCTCGTTTTAGTGAATCAAGTGTGTTGAATCAGAGAAACCACTAAAATGTGCTGGATCGCGGACCGCCAAGACAGGAATTGAATGCCCCTGCTGTAGAAGAATAATTACACATATTCATGAGTTTTAAAGACTTTTATCAACCTAAACATCTTTGCTTTCACTCTGGGGTGCTGCCAGTCGATTTCTGGACCAAACCCTGCAGTCAACGTCGCATGGATGCAGGGGCGCAGATAGGACTTTCAAACTGGGGGGGACAAAGTTCCAATGTACCCTCCCCAAACGCATATACACACACAAGCACGTACGTACAAATACACAAACTATTGCAAGAGCCTTTACTAGAGCTCAGTCAGTTTGTGTAATTTCATCCAATGGTTTACGAAAAAACCAACACTTTTGTATACGCGTTTGAAGCCATTGTGCTATTGAACACTGGCAACAAAGCTCTGCCTGATTAACACTATCCAAGTCAGTCATTTGTTATTCTCCCAATCAATTACTAATCAAAACCTCATGCTTTATGCAAAACATTAAACGATTTTCAGCATACCAATCTTTACAGAAAACATAAAAGCCCTAAAAAACTGCACATAAAATATATTTAAAAACAATATTCACTAATAGGGTTGGCCATCGTTTGATTTTGAATGATTCTGATTTTGGGTCCAATTCCTTGTTTCAATTCCGGTTCCTATCAATTCCCGATTCCGATTCTTTCAAGACATGACATGTTTTACACGAGCCAGCTAACCACAGGTCCTACTTGATGAAATAATCTTAACTTCAACATGAATTTTAATTCTATGAACAGCAACACCACCTTCATTTAGACAAAAACATGTTTTGGAGAAAAAAAGAAAAAGACTTGTTTATGTTTATGTATTTAGCAGAAGCTTTTGTCCAAAGCGACTTACAAGTGACAGTCGGCATGTTGCCCTTGAGGCTAACAACAACAACAACTTGACATCAATCATGGAGAGTAGGGAACAAGGTGTGGACAGTAGAGAGGGGGGACGGGTGCAGGGAGGGTGCTAGTTAAGAAGATGCTCTCTGAAGAGTAGGGTCTTCAGGAGTTTCTTGAAAATTGAAAAGGGAGCCGCAGTTCTGGTAGTGCTTGGTAGGTCATTCCATATTTGTGGAACGATGCATGAGAAGAGTCTGGATTGTTCTGAGCGTGGTGTAGGTACTGCTAGCCGACGATCCTGTGATTACCGGAGCGGTCGGGCCGAGACGTAAGCCTTTGCAAGAGGATTCAGGTCGATGAGAGCCGTACCATCTCAGACTTCGTATGCTAGTGTTAGCTATTTGAATTTGATGCGTGCTGCTAGCGGTAGCCAGTGGAGCTCAATGAACAGAGGGGTGACGTGTGCTCTTTTAGGCTGATTGAAGACCAGACGCGCCGCTGCGTTCTGGACCATTTGAAGAGGTCTCACAGTACAGCCTGGAAGACCAGTTAGAAGGGCATTGTAGTAATCGAGGCGGGAGATGACAGTAGATTGCACCAGGAGCTGGGTGGCATGTTGTGTTGGGTATGGTCTGATCTTTCATATGTTGTACAGCGCAAAGCGGCACAAACGAACAACAGAGGCAACATGATCTTTAAAGGTCAGGTGTTCATCAATCACAACACCCAGATTTCGAACTGCCTTATAAGGAGCCAGAGATAGGAAGTCATTTTGGATTGAGATATTGTGCTGTATGGATGGTTTTGCTGGGATGACAAGTAGTTCAGTTTTAGAGAGGTTGAGTTGGAGATGGTGGGATTTCATCCATTTTGATATGTCAGAGAGACGGTTCGATAGTCATGCAGAGACAGTGTGGTCGTCCAGTGGAAATGACAGATAGAGCTGGGTGTCGTCTGCATAGCAGTGGTAGGAGAAGCCATGTGATCGAATGATCTCACCCAGTGAGGTGGTGTATATTGCAAAGAGAAGAGGTCCTAGTACAGAGCCCTGGGGGACTCCTGTGGCAAGATGGTGCACGGTAGAGGATTGTCCAAGCCAAGATACAGTGAATGATTGTCCTGTGAGGTACGATTCAAACCAGGTGTGTGCTTTCTCTGTGATGCCCATGCTAGAGAGTGTGGACAAAAGGAAGCCATGGTTGACAGTGTCAAATGCAGCCGATAAGTCGAGCAGGATAAGCACTGAGGATTTGCCTGTCGCTCTAGCTTCTTTTAAGAATTCCGTCACTGCTAACAGAGAAGTTTCAGTGGAGTGGCCCTTTTTGAACCCAGATTGGTAAGGGTCAAGCAGACAGTTTTGTGAGAGGTATTCTTTGATCTGCTTGAAAGCCACCCTTTCAATGATTTTGGACAGAAAAGGGAGGAGAGAGATAGGTCGGTAGTTCTCCACATGATTTGGAGGAAGAGATGGTTTTTTTAGCAGCAGTTTAACCTGTGCATGCTTGAGAGAGGTGGGAAATGTACCTGATGTCAGTGAAGCATTGATCACATGTGTGACTGCTGTGGCTACTGTAGGAGCAATAGCTTGGAGCAGCTTAGTCAGAATGGGGTCCAGTGGACATGTAGTAGGGCAGCTGCACGTGAGAAGCTTGGACACACAGTTCTCAGTGAGAGGGGAAAAAGAGGAAAATGAAGCAGTAGGGCCTGAGATGGTTGGGCTAGAAGGAGTTTGTGGTAGTGAATATTCAGGAGTGGCCAGTTGAGTAAACTGTTTGCTTATAGCTGCCACTTTGTCAGTGAAGAATGAGGTAAAGGTGTCAGCTGATAGATTGTTGGTAGGAGGTGGCGACGGAGGGTTGAGCCGAGTCTTGAATGTCGAAAATAGTTTCTGAGAGTCAGTAGAGCTGAGAATTTTGTCAGTGTAGAAAGCTTTCTTTGCATCAGTGATGCTGGCAGAGAATGAGGACAGTAATTCATGAAATTTCAATTGATCACCAGCATCTTTTGTTTTGCGCCATTTCCGTTCCGCGGCTCTAAGATTGGTGCGTAGAGACCGCAGGGTATCATTTAGCCAAGGGTGCGACTGAGAGGATCTAGCAGGTCTAGTGGCTAAAGGGCACAAGTTGTTAAGACAAGAGCAGAGTGTGGAGCAGAGTTACTCGGTGGCATCATTCACTTCATAAGCAGAGAATGTGCTGGGAGATGGAAGAGTGGAGGCAACAAGAGAGGAGAAGTTGTTGGGTGTTGGAGGTTGCGGCAGAATGAGACCATTGGGGGGGAAGCAGTGGAACTCCCTTGTAGAGTTGTGCTAAAATGGATTGCAGCACAACCAGTGTGTTTGTTTCTGACCACAACCAAAGTCTGGAAGAAGCCTCTGGGATGAGAGGCTAAATGTCTCCAACATGTCCAGAAACGTCCAGCTGTTTTCAGCTAAAACTCTCAGGATGATCATGTCCAGGATGACTGAGAACTACACCTCCATGCTGCAGCAGCTTCAGTCAGAACAGAAAGTGAAACTTAAATGTAGCTGCTGTCGGTAACAATCTAACAGATTTTAAACATTAAAACTCTCAACAGAAATATTTCAGAAAGGAAATTAAAATGTTCACAACGTTCTGTGTGATTTATTATTATTATTATAATTATTTGTTGTGGCAGAAGCTGGTGTGGTCCACCACAGAAAAAGCTGCTCTAGCATGATGACTTTAATTATTCTTCTGACACACACACACACACACACACACACACACACACACACAAACACACACACACACACACACACACACACACACACACACACACACACACACACACACACACACGAGTGTTGGTGAGCGTCTGCGTCTGACTGCTGACGCTCCATGTGTTTTTATTTCTGCAGTGAGACAAACTCGCCTCACACCGTACAGAGTTTGTTCTTTAAAGCTTCTGTTAAATCCACCGTGTTGGCATCTTTTAACAACTTTCCTCTATGCTGCAGGAGTTAAAGTTTACATTACAGAGTAAAAGTTTGGCAGACATGTTTGTTTGTATCTGGGTGGGGGAGGGGGGACTCGGTGCTGCACATAGACAGCTGGTGTGATCAGCTCTGAGAAGTGTTGATCACAATTTGCAGATCACGTTTATTTTTCACGGAGATCGGCCACAGATTCTTCTTCCGTCGGCATTCTAGGAATCGAAACTAGGAATCAAAATTAAAAACTTTGAATGATTCCGGGAAAAACTAAATGTTGGAACCGGTTCCAATCAATGGTCTATGCCCAACCCTAATCACTTATCTCTTAGAGCAGTGGTTCCCAAACTTTTCAGCCTGACCAACAGATGTTCCTTC